CGAACCAACAAAACCCTTGGCCCCTGCTTTGTCATTTTTTATAATTTCCAGTTCTCTGCCAAAAATTTCAAGCTTGCCTTTTACCTCCTTGAACATAGTCAGGACAGTTGTGCGAAGGCTGTTCCCGCTCTTTGCAGTACCTGGGGTCTCCACGGCTCCGTCGGTTGTGGCTGTCTGCTCGTTCTCCTCTATGGAGTCTCGTCTCCCCACACATCTGGTTATCTTTGATTGTATCTTGAGTTGGATGTGAAAAAACAATTTTTAAAATAATTCAAGACTTAGGGTTACACTATTTTCCTCCAGAAGGAATTTTCCATTGGTATCTTTAAGGTACCTGGGGGCTAGGTGTAGGGAGGGTGCTACCAGACTAGTACCATTTTTAATTCAAGTTCAAAGCTTGACGTTTCCTGGGACACCTAAGTGACAGGAAGTTGAGTGAAAGTCCACGGTGGCCCTTCTCTCAAAGTGCAGCCCTTTGGGGTCCTAAAGGGATTAAGAAACACATACCAGGTGCCAACCCGTGGCTGAGTGGTTAAGATCCCGCGCTCCGCTTCCGCGGCCCAGGGTTTCACCGGTTCAGATCCTGGGTGCGGACATGGCACCGCTCATCAGGCCATGCTGAGGCGGTGTCCCACATGCCACAACTAAAATATACAACTATGTACCGGGGAGATTTGGGGAGAAAAAGCAGGAAAAAAAAAAAAAGGAAGATTGGCAACAGTTGTTAGCTCAGGTGCCAATCTTTAAAAAAAGGAAAAGGAAACGTACATATACCAGATCCCGCCTTGGAGGGCCCCAGACTACAGGCTCGCGGCTGAACTGCTGCTTCTGAATGAGTAAGAGCTTCCCCAGGGCGAACGCACCGCGCATGCTCGGCCCACCTTTTTGGGCTTCTGCCTGCAGACCGCGGCCTGCTAATCCTTCACGCTCTTGTTAGCTCTTCACCGCTTGTTTTTTTCTTTTAAATAAACTTTATATTGTGGAATAATTTTAGATTTACAGAAAAGTTACACAAGTAGTACAGAAAGTCCCTGAATAGCCTCCCCTCTGTCTGCTTCCCCTCGCATTCACATCTTACACAACTGTGGTACATCGGTCACGACTAAGGAATTAATGTCGGTGCAGTACTGCTAACTGAACTCCAGATTTTATTAGTATTTCACTGGTTTTTCCGCTAATATCCTTTCTCTGCTCTGGGATCCGACCCAAGTTACCACACTGCATTTAGCTTTCAACGTTTTTGAGAGGATTTTAAAGTGTGTGTATTTCGTCGAGCTTCTGAGGGAGGATGGTCCTAATTACGTTGTTTTCCATGGCTGCCCTCCCTCATCATTTCGCTGTCATTCCTAGAAGTAAAAAAATCCTTAAAACAGTCAACATAAAAATCTTGAGGGGCTGGCCTTGTGGTGTAGCGATTGGGTTCGAATGCTATGCTTTGGCAGCCTGGGATTTGTGGGTTCAGATCCTGGACACAGGCCCACACACCGCTCATCCAGCCATGCTGTGGTGGCATCCTACATACAAAATAGAGGAAGATTGGCACAGATGTTAGCTCCAGGCCAATCTTCCTCACCAAAAAAAAAAAAAAAAAAAAAAAATCTTGAAAGGAGTTTTCAGATTTGCTTCAGCGGAGGAATTTCAAAAATTGAGTTTGTAACTTGCTAGGGATGGAGGAGCTGCTGGTGGAATAGAGGATGAAATGTGTGTGAAGAAACTAAAAACTTTGCGGTGGGTTAGCTATGCCGCAGCAACAAGCCAACGATAAAGTCTCAGTGGTAAAACATCAAAGTCGGCTTGCTCCCCCCAAAGCTGCAGCAGGCTTGGTAGCTGTGGGGGCAGCTTTCTTCCAAGTGGTGATGCGGGGGCCCAGGCTCTTCCCAGCTTGTGGCTCACCCATCTTTGTTGGGGACACATCTTCCCCACTCCTGACGCTTCCTTCCGGGAGGAGGGAGCCCTCCTGGGGTACCACCCCGGTCTCTCTCCACGCCTTCATGTATTTGATGAATGGGAAGGAGAAACCAGGCGTGTGCCATCCAGCCTTCCATCCAGGCGGGTGCCTCTTCATCGCTTTCTGCTGGGAGCCGGCTCGCCTGCAGTGGGGGTGTGATCTGCACTGCCGCTCCACAGCTGGAGGGTGACAGGGACGGCCCCAGCCACACTCGGGGGAGAGGGCTGCCGTTTTCTAGCACTGCCTGTGACGACATAATCCTATAATGCACAGGATACCTGCCCCCCAACAAAGAATTATCTGGCCCCAAGTGTCACTAGTGCTGATGCTGAGAAACCCTGATCTAAGGGGAACAAAGAACCATCTTAGGTCTGTGGAAGTGACTTAGTTCAAGCAAGTCCAAACCAGAGAGAAATTGGACTGGGGTGACTAAGCGGCACCTGTCCAGCTGGCCCTTTTTTGGCCAGATTTTGTCTGTCCTGTTAACAGACCTTTCTAAACCCTACCCTGCAGCTGGGACTTAAGTTTCAACCCGTGTTTTCTTAGATGAGTGGAGTAAACAGTCTCTTTAGAGTTCTGCCCGACCCTCCCTTCTCCCTAAGGGGGTTCTCAGTCCTGGAGGTCTTTAGTAAGCATTGGAGCCTAGAGCAGCAGGGGCAGCCTTCGTCACTGCCTGCCGTGCTAGCATCTGCTGGGTTCTCTGGCTTCCTCTGGGCTCCGGTGTGGCTGTTTCTTCCTTCCCATGTCCGCTGTCCAGCCCCTCATCCCAGCCGTGGGCCTCCAGGCACAGCCAAGCCTCTCCTGGGCACACGCATGTCAGGCAGATGTGATGAGGCTGCCACAAGCCCACTGGGCCAGGAGCCTTTTGCCCCCATCCTATGTGCTCTCTCGTCCTGTGATGGCAGGGCACCTCCCACTATCCTGGACAGGAAGCGGGACACAAGTGTCCTCTCCGCGCAGATCCCCAAACCCACGGCGGCGGGGAGCTATCCATTGCCCCCACACACCCCTTGCAGTAGGACCAGGGGTCCTCAGGCCTAGCTCCCGCTGGGTTTGGGGCTCAGGGGCAGAGGGAAGGACCTCACAGTGTGCAACAAGAGGGCAGGGATGATGCATAGCAGACCCAACACCCTCTTCCTAAAAATAAAATTTTGGGGGCCTGCCCAGTGGTGTGGTGGTTAAGTTCACACACTCCACTTTGGCAGCCCGGCATTGGTTTGGATCCTGGGTGCAGACCTACACCACTCATCAAGCCACTCTGTGGCAGCATCCCACATACAAAATAAAGGATGATTGGCAACAGATTTTAGCTCAGGGCCAATCTTCCTCACAGAAAAACAAAAGTCATAATAAAATAAAATAAAATTTTTGGTAACACTTCCTTTATTCTCCTGAAATGACAATCATAAATAATATGCCTTCTCACACACTTAATTTTTAAAAATCACAATATAATGCTTGAGCTGTAATAGAGAGGAAAATAAAAGGAAAACAGCTTGCAGCCAAATACCACATATTTCAAAATGTCAGTGCTCAGACCCCGTGACACTAGAAAATCTAATGAAGTGTCAGATGCTTGCCCTGCTTATAATAAATAAGTTAGGATTTAAGAAAAGTAAGAAGATCAGAAATTATTCTGTAAAAGGACAAAAAAAAAAAAATGAAAGCACAGAAATATACTATCGAACGCTAGAATAAATATTATTTTAATCTGTGTTTTTAAAACTGCAAAAACCAATATCCTTTTGTAGTGTGTACGTGTGCGCGGGGTCAGGTCCTGGGCTGAGATCATTGTCACAGGGTTTTCAGCAACGTGAATCTCTGTTCCTGCCCATTCAAAGCCAGCAGCGCCCCCCAGTCACTGCGAAATCAAAACGCATCTCCGCATGTCACCAGAATCACAGTCTCCCCTCCCAGAACCCCTCAGTTAACGCTTCAAACACTAACCCGCCAGGTGGGTACAATTCCAGCTGTGCACATGGAAGCATATGTGCCAAACTGGTTTTCTAAGGGAGAATGGGAATGACAGGAAACGTTCCCACTCTTTTTTATCTTTTTTTTTTTTTTTTGCATTTCTGTATTGCGTAAAATTTTGCTTCCAACCTTTATGAACTTTGCCATCAGAAAAAACCCGACGGAGCTATTCTGGAAAATGATGTGTCCGGGCTCCCCCTAGCGCGCGTGTTTGTTTTGTTCCTTTCAAGGAGCGTTCAATTCTGCGCTGGGAAACCTGGAATTCCGGTTTTTTAAAGGCCGAGTCAGCTCCGCGCGCGTGCAGAGACCGGCCTTGCAGCGCCGCCTACCGGCGGCTCCGGCACCCCGCTCGGCCCAGCCCTACAGCCGTCCTCACCTCCGCCTGCACCGCCGCCCTGTGGCCAAGGGCGGTACTTCGCCCTCCGGGAGGCGATGGGGAACCAGGGCGCAGGGGTCACGGCTGCAGGGGCCCCTAACCTTTGGACCATTGACCGCTTGGGCTGTCTGAGAAAACTTATGGACCCCCTTTCAGAGCAATGGTCTTTTAAATATACGAAATGAAATACATACACTTAAGAGAAAACCAATAATACTGAAGTGGTTATCAAAATATTTATAATTGTGTAACATAGTAATAAACGTGCTTCATTAGCGCTTTAAATAACCAGCTCTAGTGGTGGGTCCGGTAACTAATTATTTTCCGAGCACTAAGGAGCACACTTGATATTTCGAGCTATGGGCGACAACTTGATGTGTCAGTGTCTGTAATTTTTTATTGGTGACAGGCGTAGCTAACACTCAGAAGGAAAAGATAAATGCTATAGTCAATATGTAATTTTTAAAGGGTAGTGAAAGTCAGTATGTAATTTTTTCACATCCAAATTCATGGACTCCCGGAATGCTACACACAGACCCCGCGGGGCGCACCGCTGGCGGGGTGGTTAAGACCCCCTGGAGGGGTGCGGCTTTGAGAGGGGCGCTTAGGAGGGTTTTAGGGCGGGGAGGGGGAGGTGAGCCGCGGGGCTGTAAGGAAAGGGAAGGCAGAGGCGCCTCCCCTCCCTTCCTCGTCCTGATCGGGCACATCTGGAGGAAGTCAAAGCCGCGCGGCCCAGAGAGGAGCTCCCAGTTCCCGGCGTGTGCTCCGCGGGTCCAGCGCCCACCATGCGGCCCCTGGTCCTGCTGTGGGGCTGCCTCGTGCTCCCAGGTGAGATGGAGCAGGGGGAGTGGTGGAGGGATGTGGGGCTCATCCCCGAGCTCGCCCCTCGGGTCCACAGAGAGAGGACCTCCTGAACCAACGTTTTCTTTCCCCAACGCGCGCTGGTGTGACCCAGCCCCGCTGTGGGCTCCTCGCAGGCTTCACCCCACCCCACTGGTCCTCAGCCCTCAGAGGGGCCGCCACTTGCTGTTTCTGGAATCCAGAGCCAGATCTTCTCCCAGACCCATGGGTACCAACCCCTTCGGGGCTGGGTGGCTGAGAGAGAAGCTTTACCTCCCTCGTCCTTTCCCTATTCTGCACCAAGCCTGGAGCCCACCAGACACGCCTATATGGTTGCCGTGTTAAACTCAGCAAATATTTCTTGAACCTCTGCTATACCACTCACAACAACCCTGAGAGACACAGAATTATCCCATTTCATCAGTTCACAGGCCTGCTTTTCTTTCTTTCTTACTTTCTTTCTTACTTTCTTTCTTTCTCTCTTTCTTACCTTTTAACATAAAAAATCAGGATGCATCTTACAACTGATGTCAGTTGTTCAGTCGAAAATGTTTTTTGTTAGTGGTATGCAAAATTATGGTACATCTTACATATGATAGCATCTTAATTCAATGAAATAGGACATTATCGTCATCTATAGATGAGAAAACTCAGAGGTCCAGAGAGGTCAAGCGACTTCCTCAGGGTCACACAGCTATGTAGTGGCAGTGCTGGGATTCAAACTCCGGGCTGTCTGAATCTAGAGCTTCCCTTCAACATACCAGGTTTGGGGAAGCAGCCACAGCTCTGTCCCAAGGTCCCCTGGTGGGGAAAGGGAGTACCAGGTCTTACAGGGCTGCCCCCAGAAGGGGATGACTCAGGAGGTGCCTCCTGGTCTTGACCCTGGTACTTGAATCCAGGGAATTCCGACCTTCATCCCTGCTGTGGTTTCAGGTTATGGAGTCCTGGTGGGCCCGAAGGAGATCAGCGGATTTGAAGGTGACACCTTGTCCCTGCAGTGCACCTACGGGGAGGAGCTGAAGAAGCACAAGAAATACTGGTGCAGGGAGGGCGGTCTCCTGATCTCCCGCTGCTCAGGCACTATCTATGCGGAAGAAGACGGCCAAGAGAGGACGGCAGGCAGGGTGTCCGTCTGGGACAGCCCCGAGGAGCTCACGCTCACCGTGACCCTGAGGAACCTCACCCTGCAGGACGCCGGGAAGTACTGGTGTGGGGTCTCAAGACTGGGCTTTGACTGGAGTTTCTTGGTGTCTCTGCGCGTCCTTCCAGGTAACACATGTCTCTCCTTCCCGGGCTGGGGGACAGGAGATGCAGACGGGAGGAGGGAGTGTGGGTGGGTAATCACTGGTGGACTCGGTTTCCCCGTCGCAAGGGGGCGTAATGCTCGCACCAACCTCATCAGGGGTCTGGAGGACTCGGTGAGATGGCAGAGGTCCAGTGCTCAGCAGCATCGGGGGCACAGACGGTGTCACCCGAGCCTCGGCTGCTCTGTCACTCCTGCTGCCCAAGGTCACAGTAGGTAGCAGAGCAGGATTGAACGCAGACCTGTCTCCTTCATGCTCAGGGCCTTTCCTCTCTGCCCAGATCGGGGAGAGAGATTGCCATGGGCTGGGGACAAGATGGACATGCCACAGAATAGAAAGACTCCCTCCCTGGGGTCAGAGAGATTCCTGAGGATTCCTCAGGCTCGGCCCACCATCAGTGCCTCTGGGACCCGCTCCACAGCGACACCTAAGCCATGGCCACACTGGCCTCATCCTGCTGTGGCCTCAGCTCTCCCTTCTGGCCTCCCCTTCCCCAGATCTTCAAGTCCCGAGGGCAGGTGCGAGCAGTGCCTGGGGACCAGCCTCGGAGGGGCTTGTGGGGCTCGGGGACACTAGGGGGCTGGGGCTGGAGCCATGGGGCCCGGGCTGGGGCTGGAGCCCCTCTCTGGGTGCCCAGAATCCCACCTGGACCTGCTGAGCAGAGGAGAAGGAAGCCAGAGAGGGCCCAGGGGAATGGACAGCCCCAGTCTGCCGGCCGGTGAGGGCGAGGTCAGTCTTTGTGTCCCACTTCACAGATGGGAGACCAAGGCTCCAAGAGATGAAATGATTTTCCTCTAATCTCCTGGCAGGAAGTGGTGGCGCTGGGATTCGAATGCAGGTCCCTTCAGGCATTGGTGTCTGCTCTGTCCCTCTCCTGGCCCCATCGCTCGGATTCATCCCATCCCCAGGCCCATCCCCACTGCCAGGTCCCCGTCAGCCGTGGGACTTCATTTTAATTTAAGGAAATAAAGATAAACTCAGCAAGTAATAACAGCAGCACCAAAAACACATTGAACTTGTTCTCCATTATTTACAAGATTCTATGATCTCTTCCCGTTCTTATCAGTATTCAGACCTCATTTTTACCTAGTGTGATCAATTTGACCTATATTTTCGGCTCTCCTGTTTTTATTCTCACCCTCATTTATAATCATTTATTCATGTATAATATCTGCAGAATTATATTAGCCTCCTGTATCAGACCTTGTGGGCCTCTCTCTGATGACAGTTGGGGTTTTGAAAATAAAGAAGGCTAAAAATGTTTAGCCACTGGCAGAGGAGACTCTGACTTGTAGTGCCTGCCAATTTCTGTGGTGTAAATGCCCCTGGCTTGGCCAATTTCCAGCTACTAACAGTTTAACAACTGGCTCCCCAAATCCCTGAGAAGTGAATGCTCAGCTCTCCCGAGCCAGCATGAGCCGTCTCCAGCACACCATTGAGTCTGGGGAAATGTTAGAAGAATTTCTAGGAAGGTCAGAACAAGACCAGAGGACCCACTATCATTTCTTTTGTTCACCATTGCCTGGAGGCCCTAGGCAATGAAATATGGCAAGGTAAAGAAGTATAAAGATTGGAAAAGAAAAAATAAATGCTCTTTATCTGCAGAAGATTTGATCATCTACTCAGAAACGTTGGAGAAGAACTGGCCTGGTATCACAAGAGAGAGTGGCAGGGAGCGGGAGAGTGTGAGGGCATGAAGGCAGAAGGGGCCGACTGATGGACGTGGGGGAGCCCGGAGCTCGGTGGCTCCTGGGGATTTGGCCACACGGGGTTTCTGCCCACTGCACTGGGCACAGAGAATAGGCGTTTTGCCCTTGAGGGGTCCCAGCCTAGTGGGGAGACCCAGGAAACGACCTGTTGCAGCATCACTGGGTATCAGCTGCCTCGACGGTGCGCAGGGTACTGTGGGCACACAAAGGACAGGGATTTGCTCCTTCTGGGGAAGGCGTTAGGGAGGAGTTGACTTGTGAGCTGGCCCCGGAGGACAGAACGAAGTGTGTTAGGCAGAGATGGAAAGGAAAAGCATCGCACACAGAGGAACAGTATGTCAGAGTCGTGGAAGCGGGCTGGAAGCTCACTTCATTGGGAATAGAGCCGACTGCGTATGGCTGGCGCACCGGATGGGGAAGAGGTGAAGCTGACAAGGTGGGTTGAAGTCTGAGTTTGAAAGGCACGCTAAAAAGTTGGAACTTCACTTATAGGCACTGGGGAGCCACTGGCTGTTCTGAAGCAGGGAGCGATGCGATCCAAGATGTATTTTAGAGACAGAGCTGGCATTGGTGTGAAAGTGGCATAGAAAGGGCAGACTGGTGGGCAGTTGGAGGACAAAAGAGGCAGAAGGTCTGAGCTAAGCAGGAAGCCAAGGGGACTGCAGAAGGGGAAGAATCAGCTGGAATCTCCTGTGCGTGGCTCCTGAGTGGCTGGGGAGAGAAGAGGCGATGCTCTGAGCAGAGGTGGGGGTGCGAAAGCGCTGGCTGCTCCCAGGACAGGAAATCTGGCTCAGAGCAGTGATCCTCTCTCCCCTGAGACCAGCCTCTCTCCTTCCTCTAGGTCCCTGCTGTCTTCCCTCCCCCACGCCCTCCTTCCAGCCTCTTGCCACAAGGAGCCTCCAGCCCAAGGCAAAAACTTGGCAAACGCAGCCCCCAGAATTGAGTGAGTGAATGGTTTCCCTGCCCCTCCTCTGCTCTTTTTTAAAGAAACATCCAGTGAATGCCTGCCTGGTGCCAGACACTTTATGGCCCTCACATCCTGGAGCTGGACTCTCAGCCCAGGAACCGGAGGCTCAGACGGGTTGGGCCACTTGCTCAAGGTCACACAGGAAGCAGCAGAGCTAGAAAGTAGACCCAGCCTGTGCCCTGTGTGCTCCCCCTGGGGTCTGAGGGGAGAGAGGAGAGGCTGGGCCTTGGGCTCTGGGCTCTGGACTGGTCCCTGCCACCCTGCCCTGCCGACCCCATGGCTGTTGAAGGAGCTCAGCCCTTCCCGAGGCCTAGGTGGTGAGTGGGCATGTGATGGTGACATGAGGACCTTCCGGTGAGGGCAGAGGTGCCAGTTGGCTGGGACTGTAGGCGGGGCAGGAAGGTGTCTGCTTAGTGGTCCCTGGAATGGATCATGGAGGTGGGGGTGATTGCGTCTCCTGGCAGAGAGAACAGGCTGCCGGCCCGAAAAGGGGCTGGAAGCTCTGCAGAGGCCTGGGGCGAGCCTGAGGGGTGGCCTGCTCCCTTCAAATGGCTTCATCTAGGCCTCTGTTTGCTTCCTGGGGTGTCTTCTAGCTGCAAATGTTCTGAGACATTATTCTCAGGGAGCCTAGGGTTCAGAGGTCAAGGGTCAGAGGTCTGGGGAGGCTGGGATTCAAGGGTCAGGGAAGGAGCTGAGGCACTGCTTTTGGACTTGTAGCTTCTCCTGGTCTCCACCCGACAGTCACCACAGCCAAGCAGAAGACAGGGGCCGAGGCCTCTCCGTTCACAGGGACCTCCGCGTCCAGGCACACGCAAGCCTCCCCGTACGCGGGAACCGCTCCGTACGCAGGGACCTCTCCTCACGCAGTGACCTCTCCGTTCACGGGGACCCCTCCTCACGAAGCCACCTCTCCTCATGCAGGGACCTCCCGCCCAGCCACGCAGCTGGACTCCACCTCGGCAGAGACCAGTCTTGTCCCCAGCAGCCGCAGCTCCAAGTCCAGGTGAGCCCTTGGTCTCCTTTCAGGCCATCCCCAAACCACAAGGAGCCTTTGAGCAAATAGAAACCTGACACTCCTTCCTCCAGGCAAACACGGCTTCTGGTCGTGGCCACAGCTCGTAGCACAGAGGGCAGACTCAGTCCCCATCCCCCTCAGCAGGGCCCTCGAGTCGGGGACAGCCTACACTCAGGGACCAGCAGCCCCGTTGCTGGACACACAGGCCCACCACGGTGAAGGGTCCACCGCGGCCGCAGTTCCCACCTCTCTCCCTGCTTCCGCTTCAGGGACAGCCACCCAGTTCAGTAGCTTTCGCCTGTCCACTTTGCACTGGACCTGGTGCCAAGCATGTGTGGGACCCTCTCCCTGGTCTAACGGGCGAACATAGCAAGCAAACTGGAGAGGCTTAGAGGCAGCACGACAATGTCTGTGCTGTCCCGAGACACAGCCTCAGAAGCCTGCATCAAATGACCTTGCAGCCCCTCACCTCATGACCGAAGACACCAGCGGGACAGACCCCCCACAGGAAGAGACAAAGGGTAGCTGGCGCACACATTTCCCGAGGGAGTTTCTTAGAGACCGAGGGACTAATCAACAGCCCTGGGCCTTGCCTCCCCCACATGTAGACGTCGGCATCTCTGACCTTGTTTGATGTACAACCAAGACATTCTTGTTTGTGTACCTTCCGTGTATAATCCAGAGAAAAGCCCGGATGTCCTCTCTCTTTTTTGACATTATGAACTCTGGTTGTAAGGCATTTGTCCTGCCCTCTTCCCTGTATGTGCACTGTTTGTGCAAGAGTCGCAGCTGCACTTAGACTCAGACGCCTCAGAGCAGGTCCTCAGAATATGCTGTTGAATTGTTTCCCGGGGTTCAAACTCCTCACTTGCGTTATCAAATAAACTCCCTTAATTAACCTTTACCCAGACTCTTCCTTTCAGTCGACATAAGAAAATTTTCTTTCTTACCCACCTGGAGTCCCAGCCTGCAGGGTTGGCTCTAGGGGGTTGTATATAACTGTGCTCGGGTGCTGACATCCAGGTAGCTGCTGGCAAGTTCAGACCCGGCCGAAAGTGTCTCCTGGGGTTGGCGACGGGGGCTGAGGTCCCTTCCATTGGGACCGACCAGGCATTGTGGTCCCTGGTGCCCTCTGATCTCCTTGGGAAGACAAGGGACATGGCTGGGACTCAGAATGAGAATGCCGAGGTGCACGACGTGCCACTGATATCTGGTGACAGCCACCGGGCTCCTTCCGTCCCTCCCGCAGGGTGTCCATCCCCATGGTCCGCATCTTGGCCCCGGTCCTGGTGCTGCTGAGCCTTCTGCTGACCGCAGGCCTGGCTGCCCTCAGCAGGTACCTGCTCCGGCGGAGGAAGGAAGGTGAGCAGGGCAGACGGGAGGGCGTGGGAGGGTCTGGGCCACTGCAGGTCCAACTCCTTGCCTGAGGGCTGACTATAGGGAGGAGCACAGGACCGAGGACTTGAACTTGAGCAGGACAGACATCATGGCCCCACATCTACTGCTGGGTTTCTAGAGCTTCTCAGTCCCTTTCAAGGCTTGTGTTCAAATCCCAGCTCTGCCACTTTTGAGCTATGTGACCTTGGGCAGATCACCTCACTTCCCTGAGCCTCAGTCTTCCTCAGATATGGGTGCAACAGAAATAGAGTATGGGCCACATATGTAATTTAAAATTCTCCAGTAGTCACATGAAAAAAAAGTGAAAAGAAACTGGTGACGTTAGTCCTAATATATACTTTATTTAACACAATATATCCAAAACATTATCATTTCAACAGGGAATAAATATAAAAATATTAATAATACACATTCTACATTCATTTTTTTCCTTGGAAACCTGGTGTCATTCAGAGTAGTCACTTTTCCAGTGCTCCGTGGCTGGGCGTGGCTCGTGATGCCTGTGCTGGACAGCACAGATTAAGAGCATTAACAGAAATAGCAGTAATAGCAGCCATGACGGGCCAAGCATTGTTGGGTGGCTTACATTGCTTCTATCTCCTTTAACCTCCATACTGTGGAGTTAGTTAGGAACTACTTATTACAAGTTCCCCCATTTTACAGGGGAAGAAACTGAGGCACAGAGCAGCTGAGTAGCTTGCCCTGTGTTTGCACAGCTAGGAATCAGAGGCACCAGGAAGATGTGTGTGAATGCACTTTGCAAGTTGGCAATGTTGTCCCAGTGTGGTAGCCGTGGGGGGATCCTGGGCCTGCCTCCCGACTCCTCCCTGTGTCACCCCTGGGAAGAACTGTCGGCTTTACCAGTGTCCCCAGGCTCCCTCAGAGAGTCAGGGAGGACACAGCATGGGAGCGTTCCAGTCGCCTCAGAGCCTCTTAGCACCTTGCCTCTCAAATTGTGGTCCCCAGCCAGCAGGAGTGACATCCCCTAATAGCCTGTTAGAAATGCAGACTCTCAGGTCCCACCCCCCACCTACTGAATTAGAATCTGCGTTTTAATAGAATTTCCCAGGGTCCTGTATGCACCCTGAGTTTTAAGAAGCAATGACCTAGTGCACAGAATTACGTCCCCAGCTGGTTTCTGCCCCACAGGGGGGTTCCATGTACTGATCCCAAAGGCTGGGTCATTGCCAAGGGTCCCAGCTGGAAGGGGCTACTCTGCCCAGACTGCCTGCCACCTCCCTCGGGGAAGCCCAGGTGCACGGGCCGCTCCTCTTCTGTGGGAGCAGCTGCAGGCTACTCCTGGCTGCCCCTGGCTTCAAGGTGCGGCTTCCCGTCTCTTTCAGCTCAACTGGCCGCCGAGACACAGAGGATGGAGAAGGTGCACCTCCCACACTCGGTAAGGAAGGAGGCGGGGCTGGAAGGCAGGCGCCTGGGCCCCCCCTCTGCTGCTCCCTGCCTGGTCCTCCACCACTGACCTCAAGGCCTGGCTTGTTTCCCACCTCTGGGGAGTCTGTGTGAGCCCCGAGACCAGCCCTTCAGGCTGTGAGCCAGCAGAGTCCCCTCCATCACCCCAACTTCCCAGCAGGTGCCAGGCAGGGCTCCTCCCCAGGCCCAGCGCCCTCTGCCCATTGGAGAACATCAGAGCTGGATCCAGGGAAGGCCTTTGACATCATCTAGTCAGACTTCCTCTAGATTTGGTGCAAACCCTCCTTCAGAACACCTGGCAGGGGCCTCCTTCATGCCAATCCTAACAGAAACCTCTCGGGGGGCCCAGGAACGTGAATTTTAAACACAGCCCCCAGGGATTCTGACGGCACACCAGAGTATGACAACTTCAGACTCTAGTCTGCTTTTGCAGAAGAGGAAACAGAGCCCAGATAGGGTAAAAGTCTTACCCAAGGCCACACAGCAGATGGTAGCCCAAATAGAGAGCAGGAGCCAGATTTCTCGACTCTCATCTCTCTTCTTTCCAGAACACCCTAATGTTTTCTTTGAGCTTTCCTCTGCTCTGAGACCAAGGTGGTGTGGCTGCCCTGAGACCCAGGCCAAGGGTGACACTCTGGGGACCATGGGGTAGAAAGAATGTGAGTCCCTGTGCCCATCTTCCTGGACAGGGGAGCCTGCCTACTGCAGGGCCCTTCCCTGACCCCACAAAGAGAGACTGTCCCTCCACACACGGCACTCCTACAGGCAGGGCTGCAGAATCACACTCAGGGAGCTAGCCCACCTGCACCCCATCGCCCCCCCACCTGCACCGCCCCCCCCCCCCCCCCCCCAGCCCTCCTCTCCTCCCTTGGCTGTTTACTGAGATGCCTCCACTCTGATTTCCTTAAATGTGAGCACAGGAAAAGAGGACTACCTCTCCTTTCCTGGCGCCAGCGAGGACAAAAGACTCAGGCCCCATCCCCTAGGGATGGGCTGGGGTGGGAACGTGGTGCTGGACCTTGGCTCAGGAAGCTCCACAAGGCCAATGGTGGGAAAGGTCCTGGCAATGCCACTGCCACCGCCAGAGCCCGGCCTCCTGGGGCTCACCCCACCCCACTCCACAAGAGGGTCTGGGGAAGGAGGGAGAGCGTCCATGGCCATGGGGAGGACAAGAGGGCCTGAGGCCAGTGCCCTGTGGGAGGGCCAGGAAAGGGCACAGGGCCAGCGGGAAGAGGGGCTGGGGGGGCAGCCCCTTGTTGGGGAAGGATGGAGAGAGTCAGGGGAAGACCCTGTGAATGTGGCTGGCTGAGAGGTTTTGCTTTTCTTTGGTTTATTTCCCTTTTGGCTTCTCTGTAGTTTTTAGCAGAGTCTGGAGGCAGAACTGAACGCGTTTGGGGTTTTCTTTGCCCACATTCAGGTCAAAGAGGGAAGGGGATGCTCTGCCAGAGAGCCCCAGGGGGTGTGAAAACTCAGAGGGAAGCGTTAGGGGTCAGACCAGCATTTTCCTTCCCCAGAGAGCCATTTCTAGAAGTGCTCCTTTCACCCTTTTCTTGAACACCTACTGTGTGCCAGGGGCTTTCCATAGGTCATTAAATCTTCATCACCCCTGCATGAGCCAGGTGTAATTATTATTTCCCCCTTCTTAGAAAATACCATGTAGAGGCTCAGAGAGGATAAGTAACTTGCCCATAGCAACCCAGCCTGAAAGAGGCAGAACTAGGAAAACTCACTGAGGTCTGCGGGGTGGCCGCAGTGCCCTGTGCTCCTGCCCCCCCACATCCAAGAGCAAGGGGTCTGAGGGCTGCAACCAACTCCTCGGCCCAAGAGTCTCCCCAGACTCAGGAGAAGGCCCATCCTGGGGCCATGGGCGTGGGGTGGCCGGGGCCCTGACTCCTGGAATGGCCCAGGTGGGAGAGCGGGGCTTGGGGCAGGACGCACCCCAGCTTCTCCAGGCTTCCCTGTGGCATCTTCGCTACTATTTTCTGGTGTCCAGAAGCAGAGGTTCTCATGTATATCTCGAGTACCCATCACCCCAGAAAATGCCTCCGGTTGTCCACGGTGTGGCAGAGGAACCAATGAGAGATCGAGACCCACAGTGGACGCAGGGCAGTGGTCCTGGCCGCTGCCTACATGTGTGGTTTGGTCTCTGTGCCATGAGGTTCCTTCCTCAGATTCAGCCATCCTTGAGTGGGTGACACTTCCGTGGCTGCCGGTGGTCAGTGGTCAGCAGTGTGGGTTTCGACTGAATCACAAAGCTGTAAATACGGGATTCGTAGGAAGTGGACTTGATGTCGGGGGTCCTCTGGTCCAGCCCAGCTCTGCCATGTCCTCACCATAGGTGAGGCATTTGTCACCATAGGTGACGGCATTTGTGAAATCTCCTTTCCTCTTCCCCCATTCCTTTGTCCCCGCATCCCCCCAGTCATTTCTCATTCGAGGAATTCTGCTCTGATTTTTATCTTGTAAGACTGCAGGTGTCACCAGAGATGACTCAAACAGCCACCTCTGCCCCCAACACCTGCAGCAAGGGTATTGACAGAAGCAGGGGGCCCATGACAAGGGACAAGGAGATAAAGAGAAGTGTGCAGCATGCCCTGCCAGGATGGCAGCATAGTATAGGAAAAGAGCTTGGGTCTAAGGTCAAATGGTCATGAATACAAGGCCCAGCTCAGCTGCTCGCCAGCTGTGTCACTTCTGGCAAGTTATAGCACCTCTCTGAGCCTCAGTTTCCCATCTCACAGGGTTGTGGCTAGGGGTGAGTGAGGTGAGACACCTCTAGGTGTCCAGAAAGTGGGAGCTTCTTTCTTTGACTTCAGTGCCCATCGGGCCATGGGATTTGCTGGCCAGGGCACCTGAGGACAGCTGTGCCCTTGGGAGGCTTGCCTTGGGCCTCCACCAGCTCCACCTCTGCTCTGCCCAGATGCTAGGACAAGGAAGGAGGGGGTGGAGGGGCCTGGCTTTCTGAGCTGAGGACCGGTTGGGGCAGCGGGGGCCGGGGCTGGAGATGGGCTTCCCCGCTCACTCTGGACTACCCACGTCTCTTCCCTGGGCTTCAGTTTCCTCATCTGATCAAGGAGGAGTTGCTCAGACTGATGATGTCTTAAGAATTCTTCCTGTGTTGTTTGTTATTCATGAATCTTTGAGGCGTCCGACTTTGCTGTCTCCAGGCTTGTTAGAAAGAACATGCAGCCTGTGCGTTCTTTCTGCTTAAAGGATAGAAATAACAAGAATGAACAATAATGAAAACAAATGATCCAAAAAAATCATTCCAGGAGTTCCCAGTTGTTGAGTGATAAAACATTATCATGAATATTCATTACAACCCTGAGGGGAAAAGTCGTATCCCCATTTGACCTCTGAGGAAGCCGAGCCTCAGAGAGGTTAGGCGGCTTGTCCAAGATCCCCTGAGACCAGGAAACTGGACCTGAGGACTCTGGCCCCGCAGCCCTGCTTCCTCCCCTCCACCCCGTGCTACATTTCCCTCCTCTGGTTCCACTCACAGACCATCCCTGCTGCCAAGAACGGGCGGTTTTTTCTGTTTTCGTTTTTGTTTTTTAAAGATTTTATTTTTCCTTTTTCTCCCAAAGCCCCCCTAGTACATAGTTGTGTATTTTTTAGTTGTGAGTCCTTCTAGTTGTGGCATGTGGGATGTCACCTCAGCATGGCCTGATGAGCGGTACCATGTCCACGCCCAGGATCCGAACCGGCAAAACCCTGGGCCGCCAAAGCAGGGCGCTGGAACTTAACCACTCGGCCACGGGGCCGGCCCAAGAATGGGCTGTTCTGACCCATCTCTGTTTCAGCCGCTGGAGAACTGCTGGGTCCAGGAGTGCGCCAAGATCAACACTGCAGGGCCTGCTGGGCCTCGAGCCAGCCCCCAGCCCTCCTCCAGTCCCTGCAGGGACATCGGGTGCCTAAGCCAGGTGGGACAGAGGGCCCTGGGAGCCCAGAGTCACCTAGCCTGGCTCCTCTGACAATGCAGGGAAGTGGGGACCTCCTTCCTCAGCATCCGCTCCCCAAACTCCGCTGCCCTGCATCCACCCACCTGCCCCACCACAACCATAGGCTTGGGCCATTTCGCTCGGGAAACCAGGGCTGTTGACTTTACCTCCTCTTTTTCCCTGATCCAGAAAATTCTTGAATAGCTTGTCAGGAGTCACAGCTTAAAGAGCTCTGGGCTGGCAGGATTCCAACATCTGCAGCCAGAACCTGGTATGAGGCCATGAGGATGCTCTCTCAGGGGATGGATGGAGGGGAGGTGGGCATGAGTCAAAGCCTGGGGGTTCTGGGGAGGAGAACTTGTTAGTTCTTGTGCTGCTTAGATGAACACAGGCCCAGACAGTGGAAAAGGCTGAGGTGGACCCAGCAGCTACCTGGAGACCCCTCAGCTCGGCTTCTCAACCCCCACTGTTGTCTTTACAGACTTCAGAGGAAGCTGAAGCCTCTTCCCGGGACCCAGAGGGGGCCACGATCCCAGGGCCTCCCCTCCACTTGTCTGAGGAGGAGCTTGACTTCTCTAAGTTCATCTCGGTCTAGCCACAGAATGCCCTCCAGGCCAGGCCTGCTGTGAAGCTGAATGGCTGGATTTGCACCTACTCTAATAAGCTTTCTGCTACAGCTTCAGAGTTCACCTGCCAGACTCCAGGGCTCCCCCTCCCCCTCCCCAGGCTCTCCTCCTGCATGCCCCAGCCTGACCTGGGAGCCTTTGTGGGCCGTGGAGCCCACAGTGGTGGCCTCACAGTTCCGGCAGAGACTGGCACCTCCCCAATGTGTTCACATCCCTGGGCAGGGCTTGCAGCTGCTGGACCTAGACTGTCACCAGGGCCAGGCAGGGCTCAGGAGAGCTGGTCTGGGCTTGTATCTGCTGCAGGAAATCCCAAGGGCCTGGGTGCCCAGCAACATGCCTCCCCCCACTCCACCCCACCTTCTCCTCCCTTCCTTCCCTCCTCAGCCTCAGCACCCCTTTCTCCTGCATAAGCTGGGGAGGAGGGAGCGTGCTGGCGTTGGACTGGGTTCTGATTTCCTGAAGCGTGGCTATGAACCACCTGCATCCCAGTCCTTCAGGAAGCTGGTGAAAAATGTGATTCCTGGGCCCAGGACTCTGCATTTCTAACAAGAGCCCAGTGATTCGAATACTCGAGTTAGAGAAGCAGTGGCCCTGTTGAACGCTCAGGTCCCTCCAGCTTTGAATCTACACTTTGTGTGTGGGGTCTCCCACCTGCCCCCTGTAGGGGTTGCTGTGCCCACGACACCATGAGCCAGCTGGGGGCTTTCCGGGGCCTGCCTGAGTCCAGATCCAGGGCAGGGGCACACCGGAAGGGGTGAATCCAGTAGGGGCAGGAGAGAGGGGACAGGGCAGGAACCTAAGGGGAACCTGAACGTGACCCTGACTCAGGCTCTCTGGAGATGGGGTGGGAGTGAGGGGTTAGAATTACAGAACTACTATTGTTTCTTTTTCTATTTTCTTTAAAAAGTGAAAGGAGGGGTTGCTCAGTATACAAAACTTAGAAAGATAGAAGAGGAGAAAAGTCAGCCATGGTCTCGCCATCGCCCGGACAATCCTCACTGCATTTTGTTGTATTTCCTTCCAGTCTTTTCCCTTCCCGTCGTTTGCTGGTGTTCTTTTACAAATATTTTGTATGTACAACTTTGTATCCTGCTTTTTTTCACTTAACTATTATATCATAAGCATTTCTCCATGTTTTTATAAACCTATTATAAATTAAATGTTTGTCGCTGTGTAATGTTTCTTCAACTTATGTCAATTCTCTCTGACTAGATATTTAACTTGTTTCTATTTTTGCTATTGTAGCTAACAGCACGGTGAACCTTTGCCCAGGCTTTGTCTGCATTTGGAGGTTTCTTTGAGGAGGATTCAGGAATGTGCAAGTGCCAGGCCCCAGGGCAGGAACCTTTTTGAAGTTACTGAGACCCACTGCTGAAAGCTTTCCCAAACGGCAGAACCAATTTCATTCCCACCAGAGCTTTTCAGTCAGTGTTTCTCCAAGTCCCCAGCAGCCTCTACACCTGTCCCTGTTGGTGTGGCAGGAGAAACCACTGAGGAATGCCCCCGCAAGGGGACACCAGGGGGCTGGGAGAGCTGGACGAGGGGGAGCCGGTCTGATGAAGCGAAGGAAGCTCACCAGAAGGTGCCAGGCAGTGCCCGACGCCCCTGGAGGGGCGAGCTCCACTTACCTTCTCTACCTGAAGAGGGAGCCCCCCGATCTGAGCTCTGGGGCTCTGCCCAGGATCTGGGCACAGTGTGTGCCCAGATGTTGGGGGGGGTAGAGAGCAACAAGTTTCAGGTGGTCTCAGACCCCAAAAGTTCACCCAAAGCAGACTTCCCCCTTGAGAAATCCCTCAGCTGGAGGCTGGTGAGAACTTTGGGAAACACGACCTAGAAAGGGAAGAATCCTCCTGCCCTCTCAGCCCGTCCGTCCGTCCGTCCTGCAGCCAGGGCTTCCTGGGGACCCGAGGTGGTCAGCCAGGTCACTCCAGTCCACCTCTTGCCCACTCTCAGACCAAGGGCCCACTAAACAGATGGGTGTCTTTTGTGAGGCAGAGCTCTCTCCAAAGCAACCTGGGATTGGCGTCCGCGGGATTCCAAGTTTCTGTGGGTTTATCAGACACTCAGGAATCATTCCGAGACTCCCCTGCTCCCACCACGGCCGTGGTGCCCACCCAGCTCCGCCCACCAGGCAGTTGGAAAGGACCACTTCCTTACCAGTTGCCACTTCAAAGTCCCCTGTCTTGATACACTTTGTTCTATGTTTGTACACCAAAATATTCCGCTCTGCCGTCTGTAGATGTGTGAGATTCTGTTCAATCCCCTTCAACAATGTAACAAGTCACTGCTCGCCCATCCTGAGAGGAAGCATTTCCCGTTTGGGGACTTGCTGAGAGGTAAAACTTCAGAAAAAACTAGGGGAACATCAAAGAGTTGCTAACATTTAGTTTTGCCAAATTGGGATATTAAATATGACAGTCATTATAAACTATTCTTTATCCTCCCATTTGTTTCTCTAAAAGAAACATTTTATCACCAAAAGGGATTATTGATAGGAAAAATGAATGATTCGAGCTCTCTCTTCCCCACCCTACCCCTCCATGAAGAATTGGATGTTATGATCCTAATCTATTGAAGCCCATTGAGGACAGATTTTCTAATTCATCCAGGAGGTTGTGGCTCGTAGTGGAAGAGAAGACAGAAGCAGAGAAGTTGGAAAGCCCCTAAGAGTGCAAGGCGGTGTGCTGTGCTTTGGGGACCTGCCCCAAAGTGAGAGGGATGTGCTTTCCATCTGTAGCCCTTTGAGAATGTGACAGGCACCCGCACTGGGAGGGGCTCTAAGGGGCTGGATCCGAGAGTGGGGCCCCCCAAGCCTGGTGCAGAAGCAGCAGGTCTGCCCGTCTTGAATGGACCACATGGTCTTATCAATTTGTACCCCAAAAAAAGCTCGCTGGGATTTTCATTGGGATTATATTGAATACACAGATCAATCTGAGGAGAACTGACATCTTAACAATATTGATTCTTGTAATCCGTGAACACAGTATAACTCTTTATTTATTTAGGTCTTCTTTAATTCCTCTTGGCAATACTTTATAGTTTCAGTGTGTAGGTCCACGACATCTTTTGTCAGATTTACCCCTGGGTTTTTCATATTTTTTTGATGCTATTGTAAATGGTATTACTTTTTAAAATTCAATTTCTGATTGTTCGTTGCTAGCATATAGAAATACAATTGCTTTCGTGTGTGGATCTTGTACTGTAACCGCCGGTCCTCCAGGACCAGCTCAGCTGACGGCATCTTATCAACAGAGTGATTAGGAGGCGTTTTTCAGCAACTGAGACCCCTTGTCCAGTTCAGGCTGGTTGAGGCTACCAACCCCTCACCTGGGCCTGCGCAAATGCTCAATAGGTGACCTTTTTGATATCAAGGAACTAAAAACTCCCCCTCAGATCACGGTAATACTGCTGTTTTGTGAACACGCGTCCTATGAAGGGGCATGAAGCTTGACTACGCTTGCACAGATCATCAGTGTCCTCACTTCTTACCTCCAATCGTGCATCTCCACACTTCAGACTGCTCTGCCCTTCATCCTATAAATTGCGCCCCAAGCCCTGGATTGGGGAGAGAGATCTGAGGGCACATGCCCCCTGTCTCCCTGCAAATCGATCTTGCAGAATACAGCTGATTTGTCTTCCCAAAAGCTGATGCCTTGGGGCCGCCCAGTGGCACAGTGGTTAAGTTTGCAGGTTCTGCCTTGAAAGCCCAGGGTTCGTGAGTTTGCATCCCAAGCACGGATCTACACACCGCTCACCAAGCCATGCTGTGGCAGTGTTGCACATACAAAATAGAGGAAGATTGGCACAGATGTTAGCTCAGCGACAGATGTTAGCTCAGCGACAATCTTCCTCACCAAAAAAAAAAAAAAAAAAAATGCTGATGCAGTAATTAATTGGCTTTTTTATGCACAGCAGTAGGAGAACCCCATTTGTGGTAACAGTATCCTGCAATCTTGCCAAACTCATTTCCTAGTTCTAGTAGCTTTTTTTTTGTAGATTCCATAGAATTTTCTGCCTAGACAATTGCATAATCTATGAATAGACAGAATTATTTCTTCCTTTCAATCTGGATGCCTTTTATTTCTTTTTCTGGCCTTTTTGCATTAGCTAAAACCTCCAGAAGAATGTTAAAAAGAGATGGTGAAAGCAGACATTCTTTCCTTGTCCCTGATCTTAGGGGGAAGGCACTGTTTCTCACCATTAAATACAATGTTATCTGTAGGTTTTTCATAGATGTCTTTTCTCAGGTTGAGAAAATTCCTTTCTATTCCTGGTTTACTGAGAGCTTTTTTAAAAATCAGGAATAGATGTTAATTATGTCAATGATTTTTCTACACCTATTGAGATGATTATATGTTTGGGGTTTTTTTTAAATCTATAAATATGACTCCATTCTTTGATTTTCTAATAATAAACCAACCTTGTATCCTGGGGTTAACTTGACTTGGTCGTGAGGAATATTGATACGGAGTTTTCTTGTTTTAAGGTGTCTGGCTTTGATATCAGGGTAAGTTGGGAATTATTCTTTCCTCTTCAATTTTATGGAAGAGTTTGTGTAGAATTGTTAATAGTTCTTCTTTATCTCTTTAGTAGAATTCATCAGTGATGGCATCTGGGCCTAGAGTTTTCTTTGTGGAAAAGTACAAATTAGACATTATTGTTAATTGCTCTTTCACACAGACAGCACTTGCTTAGATTCTTACGTTTCAGATTTTCTTTTTTAAAAGCTCTGTTGGTGGTAAACTCAATCCATTTTTATCTGAAAATCTTTTTTTTAAAAAGATTGGCACCTGAGCTAACAACCGTTGCCAATCTTTTTTTCTTTTTTTCTGCTTTTCTCTCCAAAGCCCCCCAGTACATAGTTGTGTATTTTTAGTTGTTGGTCCTTCTAGTTGGGGCATGTGGGATGCTGCCTCAGTGTGGCTTGATGAGCGGTGCCCTATCCTTGCCCAGGATCCGAACCAGCAAAACCCTGGGCCACTGAAGTGGAGTGTGCGAACTTAACAACTTGGCCGCAGGGCTGGCCCCTGAAAATCCCTTTACTTCATCAACATTCTTGAAAGAGTTTTGCTGGGTGTCCAATTCTAGGTTGACATCCATTCTCTCTCAGCATTCTGGAGATACCTGTGTTCCTGTTCTGCCTTCTCCGTTTAGGTGTTGCTAGTGAGAAGTCTGCCATCAGACTGATTGTTGTGACTTGTCATCTTCTCAGATTGCTTTTCCATTTGTCTTGGCATTCTGCAGTTTCACTACTGGCTGTAAACTTTTTATTTTTCTTGTTTGGTGTAAATTATTGTATATGTGGATTCATGTCTTTCATCAGTTCTAGGAAATTCTCCTCAAATGTTTTCTGCACTTTATTCTTTTTTAATCTCCCCATTGTCCAGGATTAAATTTTTTTTAGACCTCCTCTTTATAGCTGCCATATCTCTTAACCTCTCTCACATTTCCCTTTTCATCGCTCTGTTCTACGTTCCGTATAACTTCTTCAATTCTATCTTCTAGTTTTCTACTTCTCAAACCCAAATATGCCTATGAATCACTAGGGAATCTTGTTAAACTGCAGATTCTGACTCAGTAGTTGTGGGTGGGGCCTGAGAGTCTGCATTTCTCAGGGCTGATGATGCTGCTGGTCCAAGGACCATCCTCAGGGGAGCAACTTTCTGGTTCACTAATCTCTTTTCAGTTTTGTTTAATTTACTGTTAAACCCCCAAATTTAGTTTTTATTTTAATCATTATATTTTTTTATTTCCAAGAGTTCTAGGTGGTTCTCTTTCAAACCTGACTAGTCATTCCAGTGTCTTGTTGCTTGTTAATTTTTGTAATGCCATCTTTTATTTCATTAAACATTTTACAGGTACATAGTTAGTTTACGTTTTGTGCCTAATATCAAAAGTCCTTGGAGATACAAACATGTTATTGTTCATGTTGACTATCACTCACAGTGTTTTTTCTTTGTATTTCATGATCTGACTCTGTGAGCTCAAGTTTGGATGATCTTAATCTATGGAAAATCTAGGGGCTGATATTGAGGATACCTTCCTCCAGAGAAGATTTGCATTTGCTTCTGTCAGAGTCCAGGACGTGACAGCAACTTAGGGTCAGATTAGCCCCCTCCCAGCTCCCTAGTTACAGAATCTCAGGTCACCTCACCTGGCTCCTGGCTTCCTACTTAACGTTCCAAATGTGATGCTAATATTGGCATTTGCCTCTAGGGCTACTGCACCTTTCCTGTCCACTCACCATGCTTATGAGGGTCGTTTTGTTTTGTGGCCCCTTGGAAATTTTCCTTCCCACAAGCCCAGCAACACAATAAAAATTGTTTCACATAGGCTCTCATTGTTTAAAAGCACAAGGAGCCTTGTTCACCGCTCTGCCTGAACCAGAACCCCTGACTCCCGTTGTCCAGGCACCGTGTAAGCCCTTTAGACGTTCATGTGACTCCAGGGAAGGGAAGAAGCCCCCAAAACAGGACTGAGATTGTACCTCTTTCCACTCTGATGAGCAGGGGTTCAGGGAAAGATTTGATTCAAGTTAGAAAAATAATGGAGTATTACTTACACCCCATGCAATCGAATAAAATTTACAAGCACTGTATCGGAATAAAGGATAATCCTCAAAAGTAAACGTATTCAGCTTGATGATAACTTTCTGCACTGTTCTTAGTTTTCTCATATTGCCACAGCTGAAACGTTCCACAGACCAGCGCTTGGCACCACTACCACACTCCGCTGCCTGGTGCTCCCATTACAGCCTCTCATTACGTCCTGATCAAGACCATCTTCCATTTGCTCTGTTTGTCTCTGGGCCTCTGGATGTAGGGACTTTGCCTCGTTCAAAGGGGCTCAGCAGATGGTTGTTGAATGAATGCTTAAGTTTCCATGCCATAATTTTTCAAGGAACTGGATGATGTATTAGAAGACATAATAGAAAAAAATGACCCTGTTCACAATAGCAACCCCAATACAAAATACCCAACCAAACACAGAGCACCTGTGTGATTAAACTTACTGAGAGATCTAATCCAAACTTTGAGATTTTGCAGATCCACAAAATTTCCAGACTATATTTTGTCAACTTATACATTTAGAAACAAGAAAAAAATCTAACATCACAGCTCTTTTATAAAAGGACGACCATTTTAACCCCAAAAGTAGGGGTAGGAGACAGAACCTTGGGATAAAGTTCTTTAAGAGGAATGAATTTTGTTTTATGAGGAAGGCACTGTCCTGTCTTTTTTATCACATTGCTGCTGATCAGAGAACACGTCAGTCTGAACAGCGCTGCTTGGCAGACAGGTAGGTGGGGGACCCTGGGCTCAAAGGAGCGGCGTCCATGGAGAGGCAGACCGTGGTCGTGGAGGGGAAGATTGAGCACTGCAGAGTCCTAGTTCTTCCCAAATTAATGGACCAATTTAATGCAATTCCAGTCAAGACCCTGATAGGAAGAGGATGTCCTCGGACAAAATGATCCTAGAGTGCACCTTCCAGAATAAACAAGAAGGCATGACTAAGAAAATATCATTGATCAAGACAGTAGTTGGAAATTTTTCTTAGCAGATCGTAAAACAGAGAAATTTCTAAATCATTAAAACTTTGATAATAGCAATTAGCTTAGATAAATCGATCAATGGAACAAGCTAGATGGTCCTCCCTGCTCTCTTGCACGGCTGCTCGTGTCCTTCCCAGAGGTCTGTGGTCACCACCAAACCCAGCCCTGAGGGAGGTGGGCCGGCGCCAGGCGGCTTCAGACTGTGATACTTCAACCACTGGTGGCGCCTGGATCTCTTGAAGAGCTGAATCTGGGGATGGCAAGGTGGCCCCCACTTTCCCTCATAGTCCCTTTCTTAGCCCACGGTCCTCCTCCAGTGGTGCTTTCTTCCCCAGCTGCACTCCCACCAGGGCTTCCAGTCAATCCCCTTCCATCTCTGGGAGGCAGCATGGGAGGGGGATGGGGAGCCCCAGACTGAGAGCCGGGATTCTGGGGATCTGGTTCCAGCTCTGCCAATGACTTTCTGCGTGGCATTGGACAAAGCCCTTCAGCTCTCTAGGTCAGTTTTCCCAACTATAATAAGAATCCATTCTGCCCTTCTAACCACATGCTACTGTGCCAGGAGAGAAAAGGGATTAAAACAACAACAAACAACCGGTAGCACAATTCCTCTTAGAAATTCAATCGTCTTTATTAGGAAGATACCTTGATGACAATTTGGGGCTAAGAGGAAATTTGCCCTACCCTGAGGGTACGGTTGGAACAGACAAGCAGTGGTCAGCAAACTTGGCTACACATTAGAATTACATGGGAAGCTTTGAAACCATAGGGCTTCCCAGGCTTCACTCCCAGTCTGGCAGAGACTGGCTAGATCCTGTTTCCTTTCCTGAGCACCAAGAAGACTACATTTCCCAGACTCCCTGGCAGGAATATAGAGCCACGTGACTAGGTTCTGGCCAATGGACATGGGCAGACAGGCCTAGCTCATAAAATCCCTGAGCAATTTCCTACTCTCTGTTCTTCCTCTATGACACCTGTGGAGCCTGCTCATTAAAGATGGTGGTGTCACAAGATGGAAGGAGGCAAGATCCCTGAGTCACTGCTAGGGGTGCCACCCAATCCCCATCAGTTGTGACGTGAGCAAGACGTGAATAATAAAGGTGTCAAGCTGCGGAGATGTTATGGTTCTTAGTGACAGCAGTTAGCCTTTCTGGAACTCCTGACTGGGTCCAGGCAGTTGCAGTTTTTTAACCCCTCGGCGATTCTTATGTGCAGCCAGGATTGAGAGCCAAAGGTACAAGCGCAGAGTTGTAGTTGCTCAGCACGGTAAAGAAATACTGAGTTTCCAGGGGAGTCCCAGGAAATGGGAAGAGGGTTGTGCAGAAATGAGAGAAGAGAACAGGAGAGGGCCCAGCAATATGGAGGGAGGCAGGGAGACCCAGGGAGAAAAGAGGACCAGGGAAACATTCTCTGTGCTACGAATGATCAGGGGGCTTTTCAGATTGGGGTGTTTAATATTCGATTCTGAATTCTCATCAGAGCGGTTAAGTGGGTGACATAAGCCCCTATGGCTGCCTCCAAATCACTAGTGAAGTCAGCCCCACGCTCGTCCCTGTGTGAGCAGATGCTTTGGGGGATTGAAGGAAAGGGGTCAGTTCCACATTGGGTTGTCACAGTGAGAAGGGCACAGCCAAAGCCCCCTCCTGAGAATCCTCAGCAAGCATCCAGGGAGAACTCAAGGTGGGAAGGAAGGCTGACCCCTTAACCCTGAAGGATTTGACACACAAATACCCCCATGGTGACATCTGGGTGACATTTCAATCAGCTCTCTATGGCCTCTGCTGTTGAGTACCTAGAACGAATCCTAGCATTAGCACCGGAAGAGTCCATGACACTTTTGCAGAGGGTGAACCTGAGGCCCAGAGAAGGAGAGGGACCTGCTGAAGGCAACACAGCAAGTTCCAGGTGAAGCTGAGTGGATTAGCCATGGAATTCCTGGGTCCCCGGGCCCCCATAAATGCTCATAGACTCCTGGATACAGGCATTTAGAAAGAGCATCTTCTTGGGATGGGGAGTGTGGAGGGCAGGGCAGGAAATTTCAGAAGACATCACAGAACACAAGACATGTCACTCCGACTTCCATTCCAGAATCATCTGTGCTGTGCTCCCCACTCTCCCGACCATCCACCCGACCCCAACCAAAGACAAACAGAGCCCAGAAGCCTTTGCTTTCACATTTAATCAAAGGAAAAGAAAGAAAACCAGTCAGAGAGAAGGCTCAAGAATTAGATGGCTGAGGGAGGGGAGAGGGAAAGGGCAACCAGGCTGGGACTGAGTGTGGACAGCGGGGTGCAGAGTCCTCATTATCCTGAGGTCCCACAACCGTTCCAATGTAGAATGGGGCTTCCAGGGGATGGAGGACACAGTTCAGAGAGGGATGGAGACAGGAGAGGGGCCCAGCCCTCCTCTCAGGCATCACTAGAGGTGAAAGTGCCAAAATAGCATCAACACTGGAGATTGGCCCTAAAGGGCCAGGTGCCAACTCCCCAACAAAGTGCCCAGCCCCCCATGCACGGCTGCCCTCACCCCAATCAGAGAGGATGCCCTGTGGTCCAAGGAGCTCTGGAGGTTAACCAAGAAGGAGAGAGGGGCCACAACCGCAGATCCTTGCTGCTTCTACTCCCAAGTCCCCACAAAGAGAAGGCGCTAGCAAATGACGCTGTGACCTCAGGCAAGTGGCAAAACTCCCCGTTTTCCTCCCACTCCCAGTCCCCTTAGGCTCACGGTGAGGGTGAAGCAAGGGAGAGCTGAACTGAGAATAAAAGAACACTGACTAGAGGGAAAAGATGAACATAAACATCACTGCATAGTGGATGCAGAGCTATGCAAATGAGATGGGAGCAGGCTTGACCTTTACATCTCATTTGCATATCCTATGCAAATGCAAATGAGATCCCTAATATAATAAATATATTTCTAACTTTGTAATAAATATTCTGTTTCTTCTCCCTCCCCTTCCCTAGGAAATGGGCACACAGTGGTTGAGGGGCCAGCTTGGGCTGACACTGCAGCGAAGACAGATTAGACACTCAGATCCGGGAAGCACGGGGCCTGGGGTGGGGCGCTGGGGTGGTCCCTGCAAGGACAGGCTCACCCCAGGAAGGATCACAGAGAGGAGGGAGGAGATGCCTGGGGGTGTCTAGGATGGCATTCTTTTCTTAAAAGAGATTCTCCTATTTTACACATTGCCCTCCCCCAAAACTGGAGAGTGGCATTTAGGGTTGGGGGACAATAGGAGAGCTGGAGGAAGACACCTGGGGAGGGCCAAGCCTCTGGAATCTGGGATAAGGGTCTCATAAGAAATGGGGGCTGATGGGGAACCCCAAAAAAGAGGCCCCAAAGAGTGACCTCCAAAGCAAAACCACCCTTTGCCTCTCCTCACCAAAAACCAAGCCTGACACACACACGCCAGGGACAGAAACACAGACCAGGCCCCACAGCATACGGAGCATAAACTGCACAGAAAGCACGTGGAGGGCGCCCCCTGGAGTTGTGCAATGAGAACTGCTAGCACACAAACGTCCTTCGCCAAGCCCAAGCTCCACGGCCTGGTGCTCGCAGGGCTTGCTCCGCATCCTTCCTCAGCCCCCAGGAAGCCCTGATGTGAGTGGGCCCGGCCAGAGAAGACCGAGATGGACAAACGGGCTGGAGAAGCAGGACGCGCCCCTACCAGGGGCCACGGAGAGCCTGGGGCTCTTCAGTCAGTAGAAGCAGGCTCCTCACAGGGCTCAGCCTTCACCCCACCCCGACCTGGGCTGCTGACCCCTGCAGCCCGGCCTTGCGAGGAGCAGAGCCAACCTCTCAGGGGCACGTCGGAGAAGTCTGTGGAGAGACTCCGGCAGTGAAAAGCTGTGGATGAGGGAGGGACGGGGCTACGTCCTCTCGTGGGACACCGCCCCATGCCGAGAGAGCCGAGAGCTACACTGCCCCCGGCTCCGGCTGTGGCCGCTGGCTGGTGCTTTGGCTCCCCCAGTCTTCAGGATGGCACCAGGCTGGCACCAGGGCCTGGGCCTGCTTGGCGGCCATGGGGCCATGCACTCTCCTGACCACATGGAAACAGCCTACAGCCTGCTCCTAGGCCACAGGGGTGAGAGGCGGGAGGAACAGAGGAATGGGGGGGGGGGCCAGTCCAGAGGAGAAAAGGTGACTGGAGAGAGATGGCAGGGGGCAGTGTACTACTGACCACATGGTCCCAAAGTAGTTTTTCTCTCTCTGGACTGAGCATTATGGAAGTGACTCTGACACACTCCTGGGCACAGCTTGGCCCTCAGAGAGGGACATCTGGTGGCCAATGGGCATCGGGAGTGGGCAGCACCTGGGCATAGAGGTACCCCATGAACGCCCGCCTCCCTGGCAGTGCATGCCTCTGCGCTGGAGCCAGACTTCGGGCCCGCCAGGAGCCGTAACCCAGGGAGAGCCAGAGCGCCAGGGGAACTAAAGATTGTGGCTGGGGGTCACAGATGGGAAGGGGAGGGATTCAGGGTTCTGGGTGACACGCCAGAGGGCATTAGGTCCGGGTGATCAGGCTCAGTACACCCAGCTGACAGGCACCCACTGGGGCTCGGTCCGCAGCTTCTCCATGGCGGCCTGGAGCTCCCGGAAGGTCCTCTCCAGGTTGCTGTTGACCAGGCTGAGGTCAAAGTAGTGCCCGTAGCCTCTCTGGATGCGGCTGCTCTCCTCCACTGTCCGTCTCAGGTCCGCCTCCTGCTGGGCACAAGGGGGCCCGTCAGTGTCCCCCACTCACCCCATCATCAGGGGCATCTACAACTGCCCCATCTAGCCCCTCCCCAGAGCCCAACCATGGCAGGCGAGGACTCCCTGGCTAGGGAGGCAGGAGCCCCTCCCTGCATGCCCCAAGGTGGCTCTCCTGCAACCACGGACAGACAGACAGATGAGTGAAAGGAAGGAAGGAAGGAAATAGCTTTAGTAAATGCCAAGCACGGCCCCACCTGCTTTGCAATGGCCTAATCTTCGCTACAGCTCTAGAGGGCAGCATTAATCATCCCCCATTTACAGCAGAGAAAACTGAGGTACAAAGGGGTCACACAGCTGGCCAGTGGCTCAACAGGGTCTACGTGACTCCGAAGCCAGTGCTCCCTCCAGTCTGACTAGGCCCCTCACCTAGGCAGACTGAGAGCCTCGCCTGCCACTCCGGCAGCCCACAATGCCCAAGGCAACCCCGACCCCAGACCGAGGGGGAGCGGGCCAGGCAGGGGTGGGAGGGGAACTTGAAAACAGACTTAAATAAGCTGAGGCAGGAGCTCTCGGGCTGGCCCGGCTGTGTCCCAGCGGCTCCAGTCAGCAGTGTTTGTGGCCAAGGGGCTTGTAGCAAAGGGGAGCCCAGCCCAGCCAGCCTCGCTCCGCAGCGGCCCTCTGACCTGGGGCCCGAGAGCTGCGGTACCCCGTACGGCCAGCAGAGGGACCCCTGAGCTCAGAGCGCTGCAAACCCTACAGCTCCCGGGAAAGGCTGCTCCAAGGGGTACCTGGAGGTGGGGTGACCTGGGGTCTGCAACGCCTGAGTTTAGCCTTCCTCCCAGCGCTGCCCGCTCCCTGCTGCTAACTCCTCCCTCCAGCCAGACTCCCAGCCTACCACTTCCCCCCTCCCTCAGCCTTTCCTCCCATTGCAAAGACCCTGAGCCCAGCTGGCCCACCTCTGCCACAGATCTCCAGCTGGCCCTCTGGGCTCCCTTTGGTCAGCACTCTGTCCCTGCTGAGTGGGCCGAGCAGTGGGCCTGGCAGAAGCCCCTGCACCTTGGACTACCTGTGTCCCTGACTCTACGAGACTTCGGGCGCTTCCTCCCTCAGACCTGTTCCCATACCTGTAAAGCGAGACTGTCAAGTTCTCCCTCGCTGACACCTCGGGTGGGCGCCTCTCCCACCTCCTTTTCTTCACCAGCTCCAGCCTGCCCCGACCCGGGCCAGGATCAGGCCCCTCCCACCACACCTTGGAGCCCCTCACCGTCAGCTGCTTGGTGGACACCCCACTCTCCAGCGCAGCCCGGTTCATGGCCCGCAGGGTCTCAAAGTCAGGGGCCTCGATGAACACCACATAAGGGACAAACTCAGCTGTTCTCAGCACCTTCACTGCCTGCAGGAGAGGAGGGTGGGGGAGTATATGCCCACAGGCATCTGCGTGATGGGAGTGAGGACGGGTACCTGGGTTCTGGGACGCAGGTCCTGGGGATGACTGGCAGAGGGACAGTTGACAGGGGCTGGGCCTGGGGTAACTGGAGGAGACTACAGTGGGGGACCCAGGAGGCTGAAAAGGAGGCTGTAGGTGGGCTGGGTCCCTAGCAGTAGCTGAGGGGTTTTATGGGGGTGCTTGAGAGACAAGTGCCTGGAAACATAAGGGGCAGCGCTGGGGGCAAGCAGAGTGAGCAAAGAGGACATCGGGCAGGCAGGGGGAGCAGGCCGGGCGGTACCTGGGGGTTGACATCCAGCACGCACACCTTGCCGGCAGCAACCACACCCCGGATGGAATCGATCCGTGTGCCATACAGGTTGCCCTCATATTCGCCATGTTCCAGGTAGCGCCCAGCACGGATGTCGGCCTCCATCTCCGCACGGGACACAAAGCTGTAACCCTGGCCTTCCCGCTCTGAGTCCTTGGGCCGCCGGGATGTGTCTGGGGGAAGGAGGAGTAGAATGGGCAAGGCAGGCCACACCACTCAGACACACATGCACACGTTCTACATGGGCTGCACAGCCCTACCTTCGCAGCACGGCTGCCCTCCCACATACTGCCCTCACCCTCACCATTGGCACACACACAGACTCGAGATATCCAGACTGCCAGGACCTTCGGAGATCACCTGCTCCAACCCAGTGCTCACAGACGGGGGGCTGAAGCCCAGAGAGGGCAATGTGCAGCCCAAAGCCACAGAGCAAGGCCAAGCAGACCTGGGGTCAGCACTCAGGTTCCTGCCTCCAGGAACCAGGAGCTTTCTCCACCCCAACTGGTTCTGTCACCAAGAAGCTCTGTCTTCCACAAGGGCACTCAAGGCAGCTCACAGCCCTGTTTCACATGGGTCCCTAGCTGGGCTTTTAGCAAGTGAAACATGAGAGAAGGAAAGGAGAGACCAGCCCAGCCCAGCCCACCTGGCCACAGGTTCCAGCGACAGGTAACCCAGCCCTTCCCAGCCTGTAGTTCCCCCAGCCACCCACAGAGGGCGCACACCCACACCTCACAGCCAAAGGTATCGCTTGACCTGGTGCCCATGCAGATGTCCATTGAGTAGACCCAGCCCTGGCCCCAGGGCAGTCCCTGCTCCCTGCCCCCCACCCAGCAGGCCCAGCTCCCACTCACAGGGCACCGTGGTGCCGTAGCGGTCTGGATCCCACATGATGAGCTTGTTCTTCAGGCTGCGCCGACCCACACCCTGAGCCCCGATCAGCACCAGGGTTTTCCGGCGGAAAGGGGGCATGCGGGCCACCTCCTCATAAATGAGCAGCTCGTGGCGGTCAAACTCTGGACACAGGGAGATGGCACTGCTCATCAGGGGCTGGGCTCTCGGGGAGGCCAAGGGTAAGAGGGCTGGGGCCAGGGCAGCAGGGAGGAACCGGGCGTGGCCTAGGGACAAGGCTGGTGGCATCAGAACCAGCCATCGGTGGGGGAGGGAGGGGCATGCCATGTCAGAGGAGGACAGGGGAGGGGGCCTCCAATACTCACCTGCATTCTTGGTGGTCAAATACATCATTCGCTTCTTCTTCTTTCCTGAAAGGCTGCCACATAGCGTTCCTGGCCACAGGGAGATGGGCTGGTGAGGACAAGCAGGGCCGTGTCAGATCCCAGATTAGGCTCTGCCGAGGGGGGGACCGCATACCTGAGGTGGGCGTCAGCTCCAGGTCGCGCTTGACGAAAGCCTTCCGCTTCTCCTCCAGCAGCTGGCTGGGAATGAGCCCTGCGCTGCCCCCTTCCACGTGGCATGCCTGAAGTGGACGTGGGACAGAGATCTGCCTGAGAGAGAGGACACCTCCTCGAGCCCTCAGCTCCCTCACACGCCATACCTGGAGAGCCTGTACGGGTGCCCAGGGCTCACCTGCCACCAGTTGGCGTCGTCCTGGTTTACAATCTGCAGCAAGTCTCCAGCGCTGAAGCGCAGGCCCGCTTCCTTGCAGGGGATGAGGCTGTCTCGGGCAGGGTCATAGTCAAAGTGGCATTTCACAAATACCTGGGCCGGGGATCAGTGAAGGGTCAGGGGAAGAAGTAGCGGAAGGCAGGAGGGGATGTGCCCTCTCCCACCCCCACCCTGGGGTGGGAGGGCGTGTCACACGGTCCACCCTCTGCCCCTTCCCCTCACAAAGATACAAGCGGCCCTGGCACTGCCTCTAGAGCTGTGATGCCCCCAGGGCTGCCTAGACGGGCTGTCTGGTACCAGCCTCCCTTGGCATCCAGAACAGAAGGACTCAGATGGAGGGATGGGAGATCTGCTCAGGCCTGGGGCCGTGGCCCCACCCACTGAGAAGGCAGGATCACTGGGTGAGGGACAGGACCCTGGCATCCAATGCAAGATCCCTCCATCTTTCCACCCATCCTGTTGGAGGAGAGGGCTCTGGCAGACGCTAGAGAGCCAATAGGAGAGGCGGGTAGAGCAGCCAAACTTCCACAATCTACCAACCAGGAGGCAGCTATACAGGACACGTGACCACACATCTCTGCACACCCACGGAGACACATACGCACGCGGACCACTGCACACGATGCAGGCGCTCACGTGTACAATCGGGTAGCCCAGGGCTTGGATGCACACACGTCCCTTGCACATGTGCATGACTGTCCAAGACCAGGGTAAATGCATGAAGGTGCATGTGCACCACACGCGGAGGCCTGTAGGTGGCTGGGTCGTCCGCCCCAGCCCGCAGGTCCAGCCCCATGTCTTGCTTTGAGAACACCGACTGGAGAGCAGAGGATCCTGCCCCGAGGCCTACGACCCTGTCAGCTGGGAGGCTCAGCCAACCCTTGGGCCTTGTACCGGGTGAGGGGCCTGGTGCAGGGGCCCACCTGGCGGGGCAGATGGGGCTCCTGGTAGCTGGGCAGGATCTTGAGGATGACGCTGCCGCTGGCGCTGCGCAGGAGCTCCTGCAGCGCGCGGGGGTCGCTGCCCACCGGCTGCCCGTTCACCTCCTTGATGATGTCACCCACGTGCAGCAGGCCTTGCTGAGCCACCATGCCCCCATGCAGAATGCGTGCGATCACCAACTCACCGCCCTCCACGCGGAACGTCACACCCTGGGGGGGACAGAGAGCGGGTGTGATGAGGCCCCAACTGCTCCAAGTCAGAATCTTCAAAAGGGTCTCCTAACAGCCTCTCCCTTCCCACCCCCGCCCTTCCGCCCCTGCCCTGAGTCCTCCTCTTCCATCCTGCCACCCGAATTCTTCACTTATAGGAGCACTAATGGAAGGAAAGTGGCAGAATGGAGAGCGCCCAGGCGCCCGGATGTGTGCGGCTCATAGGCACAGCGCCTGCGGGCTCCTGGGTCTGCGTGGGCCCCTCCCTGGGAAAAGCTGATCCCATCCGCCTCTTTAGCCCTCTCCTGACCAGATTTGATCCCCGTCGGTTACTCTGAACCCCGCCTCCAAACCCCACCTCTGGCCCTGCCCGACATCCTCACCAGATGCTCTCCAGCAGTCTTGCGAATGCCCACCATGCGCACCGCGTCCGGAGGCACAGGCTGGTTGCTGAACGTTGGGTCCAGGCCGGGGCTGGGGGGTGGTGTCTCATAGGTCTTTGAGGCCACAGAGTCATGGGTCTCCAGGAGGGACTGGAGAGATGGTGGAAAGAGGAGTGACCATGGGGCAGTGCCCTGCGGTCCCTGCCCCATCCTGGCTCTAACTTCCTGCCAGCCCCTCCCCCAGTCGTCACGCCAGCCTGGGCGGAAACCTGGAAGTGGGGCTCCTGGAGGATGCGGGCCAGCTCCGCGGCGGTGCTGCTCTGCTCGGCCAGCTGCGCCAGGTCCCGCAGGATCTCCTGCACGAGCTCCAGGTTGTTGTCTCGCACAGCCTCCAGCTTTGTCTCCTCAAGCCGCTCGTGGGCCTGGGGGTGGGGACGGAACAAGTGAGGCCTGACGCTTCCCCGAGAGCCATGATTGTTTCCTCCTGATTAGACTCAGGTTAATCACTTTGGCAAGAGTTCTCTGTCAGTGATCTTGTGTCTTCCCCACACCTTGCGACCTGAGACTATTCCGTTCCCCAACAACGTTTCACTAATGGATTTAGTGTCCATTTATGACCCTTGCCTGAATCAATTACTATCTTGGGGGTTGCAAAATAGTGATTACCTTACTCCATTATTCTTTTGACATTTATTCGTTGGCATCTTACTACAGGAAAGAGCTTTTCCTTTTTCTCTCCCACATGCTCCCCCTCCCCCGCCTCCCTCCCTTTCTCTCTCCATATCACTACAGATTTTTTTTACTCAGTGTATTCTAATCCATCACCATCACTATTCTCATCACCTCAATTTATCCCAGATTTGTCCAGTAGGAGCCCCAAGCACAAAAGGCCTGTGTCCTTTTCACATGTTCCCACTAGTCCTTGGGCACCTTCCCTCTGCCACAGGCTCGTCTCACCTGCCCCACCCCAGGTCTGGAATCAGCAATTTCTCCAAGGAACTCTGACTCCTTTCGTCAGGGAATGGTGTTAGAAACCAAGACCCGGGCGCTCAGTGCTCACTGCCTCTGGGTTGTCATGTCTGCAGCAGACACTCACCAATACTGATAGTTCTGAATAGAAGCAAACTCTGCAGGATTTTCCCCCATTCCATATTTGTATCACCCTTCTCCTTCTCCGAGAACTTATTTCCCAGTAACATTAATATATTTACTTATTCTGTCCTTCAATATTCAAGAAAGTTTCAGAATTGCTAAACTATTTCTACTACCTATCACAAACCCACTACGTAAAAATCAAGATTCATCTGCACTTCTTTCTGTCTTCAGAATAGTGCTGTCTAAAAGAACTTAATGGAAATGCTCTTTTTCTGTGCTAATACAGTGGCCACTAGCCACTTGCAGCTATTGAAAAATGTGACTAGGGGAGCCGGCCCGGTGGCCAAGTGGTTAAGTTCGCGCGCTCCGCTGCAGGCGGCCCGGTGTTTTGTTGGTTCGAGTCCTGGGTGCGGACACGGCACTGCTCATCAAACCACGCTGAGGTGGTGTCCCACATGCCACAACTAGAAGGACCCACAACAAAGAATATACAACTATGTACCGGGAGGCTTTGGGGAGAAAAAGGAAAAAATAAAATCTTTAAAAAAAAATGTAACTAGGATGACAAGGAACTGGATTTTGAGTTTTATACCAGCATTTTTGTTTATTTAAGTATTTGAAGTATTTAATAGTCACATGTGGCTAACAGCTACCATATTAAAGAGTACAGCCTTAGCATCCATCCCACGTAGGGTACAGTCAGAATATTGTGAGAAAAGCTACCTGTATTAATTCCTTTTTCAGTATGATCATGCTAAAAATTTGCTATATAGATCGATTCACTTATCTGCACTTAATTTCATGGTTTGCTTTTTTCATTCTTTTAATTTAATCTTATTTTTTGAATACGTGCAACATTCACGTGGCTCAAATTTCAGATCTCTACAAAAAGGAAACTCAAAGAAGTTTCACCTCCATCCTCATCCACTCCCACACTCTAGCGGCAACCGTCTTCATCAGGTTCTAGTTTATCCTACCTGTTTCTTTTCACAAAAATAAGTAAATAATTCCCCTTCTTCCTTACATAAAAGGTAGAACACTATACACACTCTTTGATAGCTTGGGTTTTTGTTTGTTTAATGGATTTGGTTTATTGTTTGGATTTTTACTTTATGATACGCCCTGAAATCACTCTATGCTCTACACAAAGAGCTTCCTTTATCATCATTTTTTAATTACTGCATTTGACTCATTGCGTGACTGGAGTACCACAGTTTATTCAACCAGTCTCCACAGGTATTTAAATTGTTTCCAGTATTTTACTATTGCAAATAAAGCTGCAGTGCATAACCCTGGCATAGCTGTTCTGCAGCTGTGGACAACATCTTCCATGGCAGTTCCTAGAAGTCCTGCTGGGTCAAGCAGTAAATACAGATGTGGTTTTGTTAGATATTGACAGGCTCCCCTCCATGGGGCTTGGGCCGCTTGCCCTCCCACACCACTGAGGAGAGACTTTCCTGAGGCCTTGCCACCGGAGAGTGCAATCAAGCCTCTGAATGTCTGCCAATCCCAAGGATGAGAAACCATCTCTCCCTGGGGCTGCATTTGCATTTTGCTTATTGAGTGAAGCTGAGCATCTCCTTGTATGTTTAAGGGCCATCTGTGTATCTTTTTCTGCAAACTATCTGTTCACGTCTTCTGCCAGTTTTTCTACCAGGTGTTAGTTTTTTTCTTTTTCCCAGTTTTTAAACATTCTCTATGTTAAGAAGAGAAGCACTTTGTGAGATTTCTTGCAAATATTTTCCCCCAGTTTGTCATTTGTCTTTTGATTCTGCTTATGGTTTTTTTTGTCAATGCAAAAAAATATTTAATGTAGTTAAATTTATTAATATTTTATGCATCTGAATTTTGAAGCCCCCTTTTTTTTTTTAAAGAAAGGCTTTCCTCACACACAGATCCTTGTTTTCTTCTAGTACGTGTATGGTTATTTTTTCACATTGAGATCTCTGATCTGTGCAGAGTTCATTCTTATGTTTGGTGTGAGGTATGGATATACTTTGATATCTTTCCAAATGACTATCTAGATGTCCCAATACCATTTATTAAAAATTCAGGGGCCGGCCCCATGGCCAAATGGTTAAACTACTGCACATTCCACTTCAGTGGCCCAGGTTCGCAGGTTCAGATCCCAGGAGCAGACACGCTCCATTCATCAGCCATGCTGGGAGGCATCCCACATACAAAGTGGAGGTAGACTGGCACAGATGTTAGCTCCTGGCTAATCTCTCTCAAGCAAAAAAAGAGGAAGATTAGCAATGGATTTTAGCTCAGAGCGAATCTTCCTCACCGAAAAAAAAAAAAGAAGAAGAAAATCCATAAGAAAACTATTGTTTAATTTTCTACATATGATAATAGTATTGTGATTATTTTTTTTAAATTATCTTTCAGATACACATACTAAGATACAGATAAAATTATGTCTGAGATTTGCTTAAAAATAATTCAGGAGAGGGGGCTGGCCCTGTGGCCGAGTGGTTAAGTTTGCACACTCTGCTTCGACAGCCCAGAGTTTCGCCGGTTCAAATCCTGGGCACAGATATGGCACCGCTCCTCAAGCCATGCTGAGGCAGCATCCCACACGCCACAACTAGAAGGACCCACAACTAAAAATACACAACTATGTACTGGGGGGCTTTGGGAGAAAAAGGAAAAATAAAATCTTAAAAATAATAATAATAATAATTCAGGAGAGAGGGAAGTGGGTGGAGGTATGGATGAAACAAGATTGTTCAAGAGTTGTTAAATGTTGCAGTGGGGTGATGAATGATGAGGGATCAGGAGATATTTTCAAAAATTGTCACAACAGAAAGTTTTCCAAGCCCATGAGATGGGGAGATTTTAATGACACCTCATAGGGATAATCAGAGGAATCAGTGAGATGGACACAGTGGCTGGCACAGAGCAGGTGCTCAATAAAGGCTAGCTCCTTTCTGCACATTGGCCCCAGAGTCACCTAAACCACCCTCTCCTAGGTGGGCAGCATTTCAGACTGACTCCCACAGCCTGGCTGGGCAGAACGTTCCTGCTGGGGAAACGGACAATCGAAGGGGCAAAGGGGTAGCACTCGGAGACCTGTTATGCCCTGATGTCCCTCAGAAGCTGGAGGGCAGAGACATGCCCTGCAAGGGTCCACCGATCCCTACGTGATCCCCAGTCATTTAGCTCAGCACAGCCCAAGGAACTTCCCCAGCTCTGTGTTACCACATGTCTGGGTCAACGCTGGAGTCCAGGGCCCCAGGAACCGTGTCTGAAGAACGAACAAAGGCACTCAGGCCTGCACTGATCTCACCACGGTGACCCCGGCTGGCCTCTTTCAGGGTAACAGGAGCTGGCTCTGGCCCAGGTGTCCTGACATGAGGGCAGAGGTCACTCATTTTAGCTTCAGCATCTTCTGCTCCATTGATGGATGGAGAACTAGTTTCTCTAGGAGGCCTCGCATGACCAAGCGGGAAGCCAGCCCATCTCCCAAGCCACCTCCCTCCCATCTTTGACTTGATGACCCTTCCCCAGGCTGATCCATTGCTCCTCCTGAGGCCGCTCCGGTGTCTCACTCACAGACATAAAAGCTCAGGTCTCGAAGTTCTACCTTCGGGGCCCAGAGGAAACTTTGAACATTTAATCATTCAAATACAAAAAACACGACCCAGGCCAATCTGAACAGCTGACAGCCCAGGGCTGAGAACACCCAGCATGTATCACAATCTGCACTCCACTTTTCCGGGCTTTGGACACTCAGAGTGGGATTAAGCACAATCCTTGGGTCATGATATATTCTCATCGCTGGTGCATGCACGGCTTCCTTTCAGTTAGTCAGTATTAAACTAGATATTTTTAATACTATAATGAGGATCTAAGAAGCCACCACTGAAACCATAAACGAGGATCTTAGCGATCTCCTACATCTAACCACTTGCCCCACCCACCCATCCACCCACAGAAACCACCATCTTGATTCGTCACGTTCATCGTGTGGTAACCTCCCATTTTACATAGTTTTATTGTACCTATATGTATTCTACATATTCCTAAAATGAATATTGTTTTTATTTATTTTTGCCTTTAAAAAATGGGAATTCTAACAGGCCGGCCTGGTGGCGTAGTGGTTGAGTTCGCCCCTCTGCTTCGTGGCCTGGAGTTTGTGGGTGCAGATCCTGGGTGTGGACCTGCACACTGCTCATCAAGCCATACTGTGGCAGAGTCCCACATACAAAATAGAGGAAGACTGGCACAGATGTGAGCTCAGGCCAATCTTCCACAAGCGAAAAAAAAAAAAAAGGGAATTATGCCATATATAATCCCTGGGAGCCAGATTTTTTCCCACTTAATA